AAATGAGAGTTGATGAAGAAAAGAAATCGGTTACTATACTTTCCCAGCCGTGACTAAGCCAGTGGTCATAACATACAAAACTTTACTTAAAAATTCTGCGTTCTCATATTAAAAATAAACTATTATAAGCCAAGTTTGGTCTAATGATTTCGTACAACAAATCTAAAATCAGCGAAGAAAAATGTCAAACATTACAACCGTAAAAATCACCTTGTACCGTAAGCAGACGACGGGGTGAAGCAAAATAAAAGTTCAACGTTATACGGTAACAGGGAAAGCCCCATGGGGTGCTCTTAATTAAATACAGCCGCGATTGAAACCTTGCGCCCAGAGAAATCCAATATTTCTTCAGATTTTTTCCCTCCCACTGCAACGTGAGCAAATGAATGAATGGCAAATGAATCGGTCAACATAATTACTGACTTAACTTGGAGTTGATGAAGACTTTAGTGAGGAAGTAATTAAGGAACTCTAATGTATAGCTTTGGTATGTGTATTGTGGATTTTATTCAGATGGAAAAGCTCATGATTACTAAATATGTACGTCACATTAAGGAATAAAGAATAAGGAAGCCATTAAATTTCATTCTTGTTACGAAAATCTATAAATATATTCCAAAAGATAGTCTTACCTAACTAATGCTTCACCTAAAATTAATGAACAATAGTGAAATAAATCAACTCGTCTTAAAAACTGGCTCTGGTATTAAAATCTAGCTAGATATTACCAAGCAAAGTTTCCTCTCCTTTTCATTATTCACTATGAAAATTCCTACCCAGCCACTTTGGAAGCGCTTCCAAAAACCAGGGTTAACTGACTAACGTCTTCAAACTAGTATCTGAACAAACTTACCATAATATTTTACATAGAAAAATATGTAAAGTTACTTCATCATCAAGCCATTACCTCCACGCAGAACGCTAGGCGTATATTTGATGAACATTTTTGCGTATAAAAAGCTGTGTTGACTGTTCCCTTTATTAAAAATTCAAATACTAAGATAAAGTTGGGTTCTCAGACGAGGCCAGTAAGTGATCTTCAAGATCATGATTGAACATTTTATATTCATTATAGGGTCCTGAAAACGGTAGAATATTATAGCGACGACGTAATTACGAGGACTCAGAGTTAATGAGGTAGACTATTTAGTCTTATAGAGGTTAAATTGTGGGGATTCGTTTTTGAAGGTAATGTGGCTATAAAAGGAGGATGGTAGGTAATTGAATAGTTTTATCAAGCAATGGAAGTTTATGGTAGCTGCCTAGTTGGTTTGGTATTCATTAATGTTAAGATGGAAGGTGTCGAGTTTTCTGAAGCTTTGAACGATTGAATACCAATAAACAATTAAGATACCTGTAGGGTATATTCAATAAAATCGCCTACTAGGCCTACTAGCCTGGAGCTGAGGAGAACTTAATAGGTTAACGGGGCTCCGGTTCGAAGTGCAAGAGTAGGAACGGGGAAGTTTTTAGTCAGTAAGAGTCTGATACTCCCTCCCGCCTCACCAAGGCGGGAGGAGTCATTCAATGGTTTTCCCCCCTTAAAAAAAGGCCTATTAGCCTACTAGGATATATGCAATAAAATCGTCAGTTTAGTTTGTTTTATTGAGTTTCGCGGATTCTTTTCTTTGTAGCCTTTCAGCCGCTTTTTACCGGTTAATCTAAGGATTAAGAAAATTGGAAATAATCATTAACATCGCATGTGTACGTATTCAGAAATCAATACGAACGAAAGTCACGGTCAAAAGCAATCGAGAAATATAAAGCCAGACGCTACATGAGGTACATGAAGAGGTATGAAAGAGAATTTTTAAGAAATTGTAAATCTTTGATAATTAAAGATTCGTCTGAGAAAGAAATTGCCCGAAATTAATGGGGGAAGCGGTCTTTGAAACATTTTATTTAATAAGTCTCTGTGCAGCCCTTCGTACATAATTGTAAATTAATTGCGTTCTCAGGAAAAAGGGACCTTCTAATGGCTAATTAGGCAAACGATAAATATATTTTGAACGGAAAGCCTCCCAGTTTCATTGCAGTGTGCCTTTTGAATTATAATATCGCCTTATTAATATACATCATACGTAATTAGGTGTTTCTAAACGCAGTAATGGATGTATCCTTTCTAACTAGCTAACAAACGGCTGACTGCACGGTTGTTGCGGTGGCTGGGCAACTGGCTGCCGCGCAACGTGTCGCGGGTTCGATTCCCGCACGGAACAACTCTTTGTGTGATCCACAAATTGTTGTTCCGGGTCTGGGTGTCATGTGTATGTGAACTTGTATGTTTGTAAACGCACTCACGACACAGGAGAAAATCTTAGTGTGGGGCAAAGTTTAAAAAAAAAACTGTCGTCTTCACTACGTGATCTGATTACCATAAAGACAAAAGCCCATTGCAAGTTCCATGTCGCTAAAACGACAAGAAAAGGACAAACTCTTATCTTAGTGTCTGTATTCAATGCACCATGTAAACAACAGTTAATGAAAAAGTAGCCCGTTGCGCCACAAAACGTCCAGGCGACTGGATTCCACCAAATTCCACTGTAAAACTTTAATCACCGCTTAATTAAAGTCGAGTAACTCGTACGTGACCGGTATTTGGCTCTCCACATGCTTCGGATACTATCGCGGCGGGAGATTCAAGATAGCACAACAGAAAAGTGGGTAATAAATTCACTGTACCTAGTTACCCACCCTTATAAAACTTAATATCAAACATGTATAATTTACGACGGTTCCTTCAGGTAATATTAAAAGGCTTTATCATAAACAGTTTCCTGTAAAAACCTGTGAAGTATTTTTAATACAATGCATTAATAAGGCAGTCCCACGGTGGGCGCCAACAAGACGCGGATGAATTTTGTTAAGTCCAGTGTAGAACTTTAATCGTCGGTTAATTAAACTGAAGTGTGTACGTGACCACCCTTCGGTGCAGTACATGCTCGAGATAGTGTCTCAGCAGGAGGTTGCAGAATGCACTACAACACTCGCGAGGAGGAAGTCAAGTTGCACCACTTACTTCATATTTACATAGTAAAGATGCCTTAAATTACTTTGTATACTTAGTTAGTCGAGCACTTAGCCTTAACGATAACGTTTTTTACGTACAACGTTTGTTTTAAAGACTTAAAACTTTCATAACCTTTTGTTTCAAGCCATAAGGAGCACTAAAACTTGAGAAACAATTTATTCTTACAGCTCTTTACATCCACTAAAGCGGAATTTTTGGCATCACAAGCACCCACAAAAAATATGTGCATCCCAAGAGTGATTTATGCACATCTAAATAAATAATCGTATATCAGAAGGAGCGGTATACGCGAAACATATGAAGATAGTTGAAGACAGTAATTTTACGCATTATATAACCCGTCCCAGGGCAAAGATGTGGACATTCGTCATCCAACTTCCGAGCGCGGCGGACCTGCGCCTGTACCCTTATTTTGAAAGGACGGATAAACTTGTATCCGCTTACAGATTTATTTTCCGCACATAAATTATACTGAGGGCCCCGATTTATCTGTTTTTGTCAAGTTATAAATTCTATGTATTTTGTATAACATCTGCTGACTGGAACGTGTGACGCGAATACTACATGTTACATATACAAAAGTAATATGTCTTTAAAATGTTGAATCATATTTCCATGTGGGACGTTGGGCGCCATTTGCAAGTAATACGTGAAAGCAATAAAGTCGACCAAGTCACATGTGAAAATGTGACTTGCATAATGTTACGTTCACTGCCTATAAATTCCATTTAATTAAAAACGTGACTGTACGAAAAAGTCCTACTAATCTACATTTATTTTAATGCCACCCTTGTTTGCATTCTCCCGCGTTTCATTTTGGCACATGTGGAAATAAAAGAAACATTTACTGTACAAAAATGTACAATAATAATATTCAACGTGTTCTCAATACCTGTTATAACTCAAGCTGATGCGTGAGCGTGTCTCAAATATAACATATATTATTTCAAAACAACACGTAATGACGCATCGACACGTAACATAAAAGGCGAGCGTTTCTTTGAACGCACAAAGCTGAATCTGAAACCCCTTACTTCTAAGTCGAAACTATTTGAATTCCCGCCCCATTTCTCTGTATATCGAAAATTCTGAACGCCGCTATGACACGGGACAATGATACATATTTATATAATAATATTTATTGCCGCCATTGAAAAAGTGCCGCGATTTTCTCGTCTCTCTTCCTATTTAAAGTTTGGATGTTTTATGGGTGACAGGCTTTTGCTTGGTGACTGTACTAGCGCACCATATTGTTATGGAAAATAAATCGGTTGACATGGCGTGAGTTAAGGCTTTAGAATGTCGAAGGAAGCTTTATTTTGGAGGTGAACGAAGAAACTAGTCTCAGAATAAGGTTGAGAATAGTAAATCTGAAATTTTATCTCAAAACTTCGTACATATCTTTCGAAAGGCAATCAAGTAGATGCATCTTTATCACCAATCCGTCGTATCACCATACGTCTGTCCCACCCAGCAAGGGGTTTATCGTGCAAAGGGACCAGTTAGGCCTACATCACATACAAATTTGTCTTGTGACGAGATATTATCAAAAAGAACCCTTCTACGGACAGAGGTTCGATCAAGCGTCTCGTTTATCAAAAAATGAGGAAGGGCAGTACCCGGATAAAATTGGTAGGCCTTTTAAAGGCAGATCCTCCGATGAATTTATTATACTACCTAAAAATGTCAGCTACACTTTACTTGAGCGGAATGATATAGATATAATGTGTGTACTGGCTAATCCTTGATGTACCTATTAAGGCTTCCAGTCTCGATACATTTTCGAGTCCCGGGAAAAAAAAATCGAGACTGGGTCCGGTCCCGGGAGTCCCGGGAAAAACGAGACTTTCGAGACTAAATAAGTTTCATAATCAAGGTTTATACAATTAGGCAAATAAAACAATATGTTTCAATTATGCACTTTATTAATCAACTATTACAAAAAAAAAAACAAATGTATTATATAAAATTAACATTTTTCATTTTTAAAATATGCACGCAGAAAGCAAAGGGCATTCAATGACTTTTCAGATAAAGAGGATCTGATTTTGTTACAAAAGTACCCTGCATTTGAAAAAGCTCTCTCTGCTTCGACACTAGTAGGGGGGATGGATAGTAAATAATTATAGCACTGATTTAAATGCTTACCTCTGTCACCACCGTTCTCAAAGAGAGCTTTTTCTACATGCAAAGTCGTTTGCAAGTCATGGGTGCTAGTTTGTGTTTCTATTTTTTGAGGCTTTAGCAAGTTTTCAAGCTCACACGCTAGCTGTTCTTTAGCAGTTAAACAGGTGAGCTCAGCAGTTGCAATATCATTAAAATCATTGGCATTAGAATTCTCTGAATAATTACTGTCAATTGATTTTTCAGTTGTAACTTTATTCAATCTTTCGTATAATTGTTTTAATGATAGTGTAACCTCGTCGTTGTTAAAAGTGTTGAATGCCCTTGGATCTAGCTTATTTTCGAAATATTTGGAAGGATTGTGTAGGTATTGCAAAATACTCGCCTCAATTAGCCTGTTTTCCTTAATACGTGTACACAGCGAATTGGCAAGGCTTACGCTTAATGAAGTTTGTAGTGAATTTAATTTTTGGAGGCAGAAATTTAATGCTGTATCTGCTGTTAATAGATTTGCATCTCGCCTACACAACGCTTCTAATGTGACTTTTAAGATATTAAGTGAATCTGAAATTGCCTCGAGTGTACTATATTCTGATTCGGTGAACTCAATTCCAGACCCTATATCAATCAAAGCCTTTCGAACGCATATTTTTAACTTAAGAAAACGTTCAAGCATTTCTGCTAAACTGGACCATCTCGTCTTGCAATCTATTATTAGTTTTAGTTCTCTGTGGAAGTCTTCCTCCACGTATTTATTCAGTATAGTTTGTTTTGTGGGCGATTTCCTGAACAACTTTGCTACTTTTCGCACTTTATTGATCACATGTTCATAAATTACTTCTTCATATCTTCGCAGCTTGCTACTCTCAATTATGTTAAAAGTTCCGTTTTCGTCCTTTTCGTCATCATTTTCATCGTCATCGCTAACATCGTCAATATTTTGCGTTTCGTCATTTTGTACTGTAAGAGTTTTTGTTTTTTTGTATAATACATCTAGTATCGCTAATTGGATACCATGGGCTAGACATTTTTGGTGATACGCCTTAACCGACTTTCCCACTTTTTTCATTACACTACAACCATCTGTAGTTAGACTAATAAGTAATAACGTCAGTGTCTAAATGAACATTAAATTCCGACAATCGGTTTTTTAATAAATCAACACAAATGACAGCAGGCATACTTCCAGTTATTTTAACAAGACCTAGGTTTTTGTAATTAGCTCCATCAAAATAGGGTGAGTGAATGTTAACGTTCATATATCTTTTATTTTGGGTTGACGTCCATTCGTCCAGGGTGCAGCTAAATTTAATACCGGATAACTTCAATTTGTTTATTTCATTTATCATTCGAGATTTAATGTAGTCGGCTTGTTTAATAACCATTTTAGATATCGAAGTCACAGAGGATGGTAATGAATATTGTGTTTTTTTGAACAGCTCCCGTAAATCTTTAGATTCGACGAAAGTTCGAAATGGTATTCCATCTAGTGCAGCCATTCTCGAAACTTTTACTTCAATTCCGTCAACTTTTTGAAAGAAATCTGTCATTTTACATTTTTTTTCGGGTGGTTCACCTTCAGTTGTGGTTTTGTTGGTAGGAGTTATGTGAGACATACAATCAGATGTGGAAGCTGCAGGTCGTTCTTCGTCCTTTAATAATATTAAATTATGAATACTTTTAAGATGTTTATGAAGACCACTCGTGTTTCCTCCTAACGTCTTAAATATTTTGTAGCAAGTTTTGCATTTAGCAGTAGCATTATATTTAGCTCGCAAAAAATAACACCAAACCGAAGACTTATCATGCATTTTGGCCAGTACATCACAATAAAGCATGCTGTTATCTAAAACAATGAAAAAGTAACCATCACCACCCAGAAACACGTTAGCACAAACCATGTTATAATATTTTTTTATACAGGTAGATTTTATAGTCACCAACAAAAAAATATATTCCTATATTATGTACGTTTTAGTTTTATCAGCACTTGTTACTAAAATATGGAGTTATAGCCTCTCAAATTATACTTACACTACGCGAAATAGCTTTTGGTGATTACGTGCTGTATGCGTTAAGTCTAGTCCAGTTTTAATTGATAACAACAAAAATACTTTACGTATAATATTTTAGTTAAGAAATTCGATAAAACTACTCTCACAAGTGGGGCGCATCTCGAACCTACGTCCTCACCATTAGGTTACCGTGATATTTTTTTTATTAATTGTTTATGTTTAAAAAAACGAACATACTCGTATGCTTAAACATGCAAAAATATCATCAAAGGTAAATCATAATATCTTGTAAATTTTATTTACTCATTTACTCGTACCTTCCTATTTTATTGTAAAATGGTGTCATTAGATGATAGTGTTTATAAAATCAACCTGTATAATTATGTTTTAAGTTCATAACACGATAACATAACTTCAAAATTATTAGGTATACATATCTTGTTCAAACCTTCATTTTATTTTAAGCATTTTATCCCAACTAAATAACAATCACTATTATTATTAAAATTTTAAATCATTACATTCAATCGATTAAAAATTCATTTGCAATAAAATCGCTGTTAATAGTATGAAATTGAATCGATAACGCATAATCGGTAATATATTTGGGTTTTACAAAAAAAAGTTGTCCGAAAAAAAGGGTTGAATAAGATAATATCATTATACTTATAACAAGAATCTAACAGCATGTTAAAACAAGCGCACATCATGGTTAGTAATATTAATTAGGTATATTATAGCAATTCATTCAATTCGTTGCATAGCGCCATCAAGCTAACACAACAAACCAAAACATTTACAAAATATGACGAAAATAGTTAAACTAAAATGATTTTGTTTGTGACGTATACTTTTAACATGAATAAGACACATACACTTTCAATTTCTCTGCTAAGGAACACATTGTTGCCAAGCTATATAATTCACACTTTTTATAAAGATACAATAAGCGTTTTATTGTGATGTGAACGTATGTTGTTTGAGGTTAAGTTGCAAGCTCCACAGATTATCCTAACTTTCACTTTACAGTGTTGCCACGTCACTTAATTAAAATAATAATGGTAGTTTAGTAGATTTTTTTAGTAGATTGGTATTTTTTGTAGATTATTTAACTAACTCTCGAAAGTCTCGAAATTCTCGAAAATTGAAGCTGAGGTCTCGAGTCTCGAAAACATGAAAAAATCGTCGAGACTCTCGGGATTTTCGAGACCGAGACTCCCGGGATGGAAGCCCTAGTACCTATATACTTATGTGTATTCTGGTAGCGATGTGGTTACGAAAAATATATCTAATAATAAAAATAATAATTACGCGCCTTCTTGGAGTCATGTATGAGGCAGTGGAGCACCGTGCTTTGCTATCCGGGATGTAGACAAATCCAAGGGAATGAAGAACCTGTAAGGATAGTACGAGGAATATTCCAGGGTGACAGCCTGAGCCCACTATGGTTCTGCTTGGCCTTGAATCCTCTAAGTACTCTACTGGAGGATTCAGGGCTAGGCTATCCTTTGCGGAGAAGGGGTTTAGTTATATCCCACTTACTTTACATGGATGACCTCAAGTTGTTTGCTCCAAACAAGAAACAACTGACGGAACTACTGAATATAACTGAAAAATTTAGTAGTTCCATCAGAATGGAGTTTGGAGTAGACAAGTGTGCGGTCATGCATGTAAAGCGAGGAGGGATTGTGGAATCTGAGGGACTAGAACTCTCAGATTTCACAAAACTGAGATCACTCTCCGCAAACGATACATACAAATACCTGGGTATATCAGAAGGATTAGGCATTAATGGACCGGACATGAAGCAATCGTTACAGGAGCGCTTCTTTGGCCGCCTGAATAAGGTACTCAAAAGTTCCTTATCAGGCGGAAACAAGGTGCGAGCCTTTAACGGTTGGGTCATGCCAGTCCTAATGTATTCTTTTGGTATACTCAAGTGGACACAGACTGAACTTGACACCCTGGATAGACGAGTCCGGACCCTGCTGACTGCAAATCGCATGCATCACCCTCGTTCGTCGGTCATGAGGTTGTACATCCCGCGGAAGTGTGGTGGTCGAGGCTTATTAAATGCTAAGACCCTTCACAACCGTGAGGTGTGCAGCCTCAGGGAATATTTCCTGAAAGTCAACGAGGGTATGCATCGAGAAGTAGCAGCGGTGGACAATGGATTCACTCCACTATCCTTGGCAAAAGAGAACTGGCGCAAACCTGTGGTACTGAGCGTCAATGATCGCAAGGAGGTATGGCATAGCAAGGAGCTCCACGGACGCTTCTTCCGGGCCCTTCATGGGCCCGGTGTAGATTTTCTAGCGTCCGTGTCTTGGCTACGATTCAGTAATCTCTTTGGGGAAACTGAAGGATTTGTCTGTGCAATAATGGACGAAGTTATCCTTACGAATAACTACCGGAAATATATAATTAAGGATGGGACGGTTGACATATGTCGGGCATGTCATAGTCCCGGTGAATCCATTAGACATATTATTTCTGGTTGTGGTCGTTTGGCTAACAGTGAATATTTGCATAGGCATAATCAAGTAGCCAAGATTATCCATCAGCAACTTGCTTTACACTATCGACTTGTTGATTCTGAGGTACCGTACTACAAGTATGTGCCCGACCCAGTTCTGGAAAATGACCATATCACATTGTACTGGGACCGGTCTATCATTACTGACAGGACTATTGTAGCCAATAAACCTGACATAGTAGTGATAGACCGTCAAGTACGCCGCACGATGATAATCGATGTCACCATTCCCCATGACGAGAACCTCGTGAAAGCTGAGAAAGATAAACAAATAAAATATCTAGACTTAGCTCACGAGGTTGTCGACATGTGGAGTGTGGATTCGGCTATCATTGTGCCGATAGTCGTGTCGGCCAATGGGTTAATCCCTAAAAGCCTCGACATCCATCTCAGGAGGCTGGCGTTAGGTGGATGGATCAAGGGCCTGATACAGAAGGCAGTTCTCCTAGAAACGGCACGTATCGTGAGGAGGTTTCTGTCTCTGGAGCCCTAACCACCGGTAGCTTGGACCATGCTCCCGCTACTGGTCGGGTCCTATTTTTTATATTTTTAAATATTATTTTTTTTATTTTGTAAGTAGTATTTAGAAATATAATTTATGGAGAATTTTAAATAAATATATGTAAAAAATAATAATAAAAAGTGTTTATTGTAACAAAAACATTAGACACACAGTTTATGAATACTAACATCTAAACTAGGCCGAGCCTGTACCTTAGATGTTAGTTCCTTCCAATTGAGACAGTATATTATTTACAATTTATAGTTTGTAAATGTTTTATAACATCATTGATATCTAATGCACGAGTATGACAATACAATAAAACAACCTTGAGAGACATGAGGTCTAGAGAGATTTAAGTCCAAAATTGCATGTTTGCAACCAATATTTGATTTTACAAATTAAACCAACATTCAACACATGTGCCCTGAGCCGTAAGACTTCAAAAAAGTCGATACGTCATACAAAAACCATGAAACAAATTGTCTGTGCAATGTTACAAAGTAGGTAGGTACATTGAACAATGTCTCATCCCATAAGGAAAGGTACGATGGGGAAGCAGGTGGACTGAGGGTCGATGAATTACCCGAGGACAGATGTCTACTGCCACCGGCTTTTTAAGTACCTGAGCAACTTTTATACGTCATCCAATGAGGCTTGGTGAATTGCCTATATTTTGTAGATGTAAGTACCTAGTTATACACGTGTTTGTGTGTCGATGATTAGAAGACATTTTACTCTTTTTTAATAACTAAATAGACTCACAGAAAGCGCTTGCTTGTATATCATCGTGTGAGTGAGGTTACCTCCTTCCCCAATCTCCCCAATCCCAAAATCCTCAATAATCCTCAAATTCCTAATCCCTAAAAGGCTGGTAACGCACTTGTAACACCTCTGGTGTTTTCGGTGTTCACGGGCGGCGCCGATTGCTTACCATCAGGCGATCTCGTTTACCAGCTGATTCCATAAAAAAATATTTGATAACATTAATTATTTCTCTTTCCTTAAAACACCTT